TCCCTTGTATCTTATCCAGGCCTCCTACCCTTAGGGTGGTAGCACTCACACCCACGGTGGGCACCTCTAATCCTAGCCAGATCTGTGCCAAACCAGCCAGTGGACTAATGTAATACTCACACACTCTGAATCCCGGCATCACACACTCGATCCAGCCACTTCTGAAAAGCCCCACCTGTGACTGCATGAGGGTTTGTGAGGGACATCTAGACAAAGCCTTAACACTGGCCTTGAACTCACTATGCAGCCCAGGTGGCTCCAAACTCACAGCCATCCTCCTGCCTCAGCCTCCCAAGTGTGGGGATTATAGATGTGCACCTGTAAATCGCTTCTCAGCCTTTTGGCTAAGATCAAGTGTAGATGTGCACCTGTAACCTTGTGACCACTGCCGGTCAGATCTTCACTTTCTTTCACCATCCTTTGGAGTGGTCTTTGAATCACGAATGCTGCCCCTCTGCACCCACTTTGGGGACACCTCTTGCGGTCATAGTAAAAATTTATGCTGAAGTCTAGAAAGGAACTCTGGGTCTCCCTGAGAAGGTTTACTGGACTGAGCTGCTAGTGGAGTGAGAAGATCCTGTTTGTCAGAGGTCAGAGGACAGAGCCCTTGATTTGGAAAACCTTCCATATGTGAAAAGATTTGACAGAGCTCTCATCCTAAACAACAGTCTCCTTGGTACAATGGGAAGACTGTATAGGAAGAGCACACGCCCTACAGAGGGAGAGAGGAAGGTGGCAGGTGCGGTGGTACAGGCCTGTGATCCCAGCTAGCCGGGAGGCTGTGGCAGGAGGATGATAAGTGAAAGTCCACCCTGGGGAATTTAGTGAGGTCCTGTGTCAAAATAAAGTTTAAAAAGGCTGAGGACACAGCTTCTCACTCCCTGTGTTCAATCCCTAGCACTGTGAAAATAAGTTTAAAAATAAGAAAGAAGGGCACAGACATGTACATAACCAGCCTTAGGGACAACCTGTGGGAGGTTAGTAAAAACCAACCAAGGGCCGGGGATTTAGCTCAGTGGATCTTCCACCTGCCTTGGAAGTGCAAGGATCTGAGTTTGATCCCTGGTACCAAAAAGAAAGAAAGAAAAAAAAAACCCCACCAAACACAGCCGGCTATTTAGCTCAGTGGCACTGCCCCTGCCTTGCAGGTGCAAGGTTCTGAGTTCAATCCCTGGTACCAAAAAAAAACAACAATCAAAAATTGATACAGAAATCAGGATCAGAAAAGTTCTGATATTCAGCATGAAGAATAAATAAATGAAAGATAGTTCAGCCCTCAGTGTCAGCCTAGCAATCCGAGGATGGGTGCCAGCCCAGGACCACCCATGGGAGAAGGCGCTGAGACCACCAGTGCTTGCTGCTGCGCCTTCAAAACCAGCAGCCAGTGAGCCTGGCACCCTCTGCAAATACGGAGCCTCCCCGCTCGGTGCCTCAAGATGTTCACAGATGATGAGGAAGGCCAGAATGTTGGGAGCTTGTCCTGTATGAAAAAAGAGGAGGGGGAGTGGGCAGGACTGGGGGGGAGGGAGGAAGGGGAGCTGGGTGTAGCTCAGGTCAAAGGCCCTGGGTTTGGGGGGGTCTCTTTTTGGGTGGGGGAGACAAGGTCTCACTATGCAGCTTACGTTGGCTTTGAACTCACTGTGTAGCTCAGGCTGGCCACACACTTGTGGCGATCTCTTCCCTCAGCCTCCTGAGTGCTGGGATTACCAGACATGCACCACCATGCTGGCCAAGGAACTGGTTTAATTTTTGCATAGTGAACACAAATATAAGTCCTTATGGCTTGACAGCTGTGGGAGTGCTTAAAAGAACTTGGTAGGGGCCCTTCCATTTAGGGAGGGGATGATCTAAAGGTGACTCCATCTTCCAAACCTTAAGTAACACACAATCCTCAGGTTGAATTTTAGGGCCCTGAATTGCAGAGCCTCATGCTGGAAGGACTTTATGCCCATATTATAGTAAAGCTCTCTCTACCGGAACTAGATTGACACTGTGTTTTACCATTTTCTGTGTCTTAGGGTCAGTGGCTAGATCTGCAGCTAGAAGTGGCCTATCAGACCATTTCCTAAGGGTTTAGCTGGAGAGAGGCTTTAGGAGCAATTTTAATCCTTAGTAAAGCAATAGGTAAGTTTTAGCCAAGGCTCTGAGGTCTCTTGGCATAGTTTTCTCAGGGTGGTTTGAACACCTATGTTGGCCCTTTCAACCTTTCGTGATGCGCCGCCATTGCTCACTCTAGGCCCTGTGTCTGAAGGTCCCACCACATGCGGACCAAGCTCCCAGCTCTTGAACCAGGAAACAGTGGCTTCCGGACCATACACCCTCTATCCAGAGCTCCCGACTCAGCCAGCTGTGACGGTGCCAGCCGTCACTAGTCAAACAGTACCTGAGAGGAGGGCAGAGGATGAAAGAAAAACAAAACCTCTGAGGAAAAGAAAAAGGAGAGACCCCTCTTCCCACTTTATTGCCCTTTATATACCTTTTCCACAACCCCCAACCCCTCCTCAGCACATAATTCTGGCGACTAATTATTTTCCAGGGAAAAGGTCAAATGTATCTTTACAACTCCGGGAATAACGCTCCCTTGCACTGCAGACATTCCAACTCTTTCTATTTAACCACTCTCGTTACAAGTAACCATCCTTGTTTTTGTGCCAGCTGCATATCCAGGATTCATTATGTTCTCCAGAGACTCAGAGGTCTCTCAAGGTTATTTCAACCTTTCGCTCTCCACAGCCAGCCTCACCTCTGTTCCTTGGTTTGCTTTCTTTTATTTTGAGATGGGGTCTTGCTGTGTTGCCTCAGCTGGCTTTGAACTCAGGGCTCAAGTGATTCTCCTGCCTCAGCCTCCCAGGTAACTGAGACAACAGGCACTGCCACCCAGTCTGGCTTTCTTTTTGATCCATTTATGTCACACTCCACAATTGCACTTTGCTTGTACAGTTGGGAGAAGGTAATTAACGCAAACTCCCGTGACCCAACACACCCTGGAGTTTCCCTGGAATTTTGCCCAGGTTCTGAACGCAGACTTCCACTCTGCAGCCTTCCCCATGGAGGATTGGACTCCAGCCTCATCTCCAAGCAGACTGCACCCCCAGGCATCGCTCCAAGTATGGCAGCCTCCTGATCTCAACCTCAATGGCTACAAACAGCTGCTGCCTTAAAACAGGAACTGTCTCAGGCCCCTCCAAAGCCCACTTTAAAATGTCCAGTCTCTAGGAGGCTGAGGTGGGAGGATTGCAAATTTGAGCCCAGCCTGGGGAACTTTGTGACTTAGTGGGATCCTGCCTCCAGAGAAAAAAGAAAAAAAAGGCTCAAGATGTAGCTCAGTGCAAAAGCCCTGCGTTCAATCCCAGTTCCACATCTGGAATTCTCCGACAGGTGTCACAAATAAATTAGTCCCTTTGCAAATTCTATTCAGCTGCCTGCGCCGAGAGACTTTTCTTTTTTTTGCAGTTTTATAAAAATTTAATTCCTAAACCTACAGCTGACATCTGAGGCTGAGACAGGAAAAGGCAGGTTAGAAGGCAACAGAGGGGCACAAAACGTTGAGTCCTTCAGAGTGTCATGAGCCCTTGCATAAATCCAAGGCAGAAATGTGCTCCTGCAGACTGGGGGCCTCTCCTCAGCCTGGTGGGCGC